ACAAAGTGACATAGGTGTCGTGTAGAGAGGCCAATAAATACGCTTCCCTTGTGAGTTTTTAAACATCCTGCAAAGGTGTTCCTCGCAAGTATGTGATTAAATGGATTGCTCACTCAGAATTACTGCCACAATTTGAAGCTTTGTAGGTGCTCTAGTTCTTGAGAAATATCAATCTAAAGGTTCAAATATAAGAAGACATGGGGCAATCTAAAACTTTTCTTGTTAGTTAAGGAAACGAGCAGCACTTTTCTTCGTCTCATGTTGGAACAATAATTTTGTACTTCTTGGTGACATTTCAAAGAAATTGTTGGTCCGATCTGTCATGTCTTCTTCTTGTGTTATTTCTAGGCAATGTGTAGAATGAGCTTCGAGTTTATAGCTGGTGATCTTAGCAAACTCAATATGGACATTTAAAAGTCTATCAAACTAATACCTTCTCAGGCATTGACTGTGCTTTGAACTTGAACCTCGAGTTGTTCAAATAAGATTCAGGTCTGCCAGTTATACTAGCGCGCTTTGTTCGTTTTTGTACGCATTTGGACACGAGGTGAGCTTATATCATTCATGATAAGTGGGAATGTTTGATACCAATATATACGGCTATATTATTGCTTCACTTGCTTTAATGCTCAGCATATACGTAACTTCATTGCACTAATTGGAAAGAAAATGATCTCATCAAAAAGCAAAACCGAGTTGGAATTGTCATTGTAGTGATTTTGCGAATCCAATTTGCTTATTGTGTACATCGTATACGGTACAGTATTGTTTGATGAACGGTGCACCGAGAATAAACTGTGCTGCCCAGAACATCTCGAAATGGTGAAGTGCTAAGATGCACAAATCGTCATGAATTTTAATGATGAGATTGGTAGACTCAATGGTAAAGTTCGCTCCGGCTATGTTCACATTGGCGGTAACATCAGCGTTGCAGTCGATGCTGTAGAGGTCAAGTTCGTCGTCGTACTGGAATACATTATTTGAGCGTTTTAGGAAATGAAACACCTACGAGTGCTTGGAGTGTTACTAATACCGTAATTGTTTGTCCTTGCTGTTAATAATTTCATTTGAGAATTTGAAGAAGAAATCAAATTTCTGAGGCTAATATACTCGTGG